GTTTTCTGAGACACAACAATTAAAACAAAAAGTTAGCACACTGATAAAAATTAAGCTCATCTAATTCACACCGAAACTGTTGTGGTTCGAACAAGTGATATGTGTTAGCTGTTTTCTGAGACGCAACAATTAAAACAAAAAGTTAGCACACTGATAAAAATTAAGTTCATCTAATTCACACCGAAACTGTTGTGGTTCGAACAAGTGATATGTGTTAGCTGTTTTCTGAGACGCAACAATTAAAACAAAAAGTTAGCACACTGAGAAAAATTAAAGTTCATCTAGTTCACACCGAAATGGTTGGTATTCAAACAACACACATATATGTAGCAATAAGAATAAAAAGTTAGCACACTGACGAAACGGTTGTTGTTTAAATAACTCATGTATGTTAGTTGTTTCCTGGGTCGTAAAAATCAAAACAAAAAGTTAGCACACTGATAAAAATTAAAGTTCATCTAGTTCACACCGAAACTGTTGTCGTTCAAACAACTGATTATGTACAAACAGTGTCTCCACCGCTACTATTGTCTGTGGTATCTCAGATGGCCTGCTGATCCTTGGCATTTGCGAAAGGCCTCGTCGGCACTGGATACAGTAGATATGGTATGGTTGATACGCTATTATATTCTTTTATACTTTCACTCATATGGCCAAGATGTGATCACGTGCACTTAAGAATTCATTCTGTGGGCACGACATACTTTTAGGGCTCCTTCTCGTAATGAGATCACACGAAATTTGTTGAAAGTTTCTGATATTAACAAATGAAGGACAGACCACAGACTTTTATCTGTCCTTCACAATCTCTCGTGAATTGAAAAAAAAGAAAGTTAAGTATGTTTAGAGTGGATAAGAATAAATTATTTAAATAAAAACTTATTTTCAGTATGGCCCGAGTTGTTCACTTTATCACTCCAATTTTCTAACATAAACTAAATCCGCTCAAGTTCGATAAGATCGTGGAATTTGGTCACGCAGATTCACTCAGCTGAACGGAAGGACGTATTGGTTAAGTTTATTTATTTATAATTACAGGATTTCTTGTGCCCTTCTTTAAAAAAAATAAAAATAAGAGAGAAAACATGAAAGACTGTTCTGTGTATTCATAAGGACAAACGACGCCTAATGTAACAAGAAGTGAGTGTTTGAAGATTCTATACTTCTACTGAAGCAGCAGACGATCTTGATGGGTCGAGACAGATGGTGAGGAAAACTTGTCGTACTCGCTAGAGGGTGCTTTTTAACACAAGTAAATAAAGTTTTGAAAGACGTTTTAGTCAGTAACCTTTAAAGGTGCAGTATCTTCCAAAACACGTTTAAGTACGCTTTTCTAAATTTCTAAAACCAAAATGGAATTCTTAAGTGTCCGGTAATTAACTTTAGACAATTTTGTTTGTAATTAAGCACAAAGATACACAATGGGCTACCGGTGCTCTGCCCACCACGGGTATCGAAACCTGATTTCTAGCATTGTAAGTCCGCAAACAGACTTATATATATATGAGTTAA